CAGTCCAGTAACTTAAGGTATAACACAAACCACTACTGCTATCACCAATGATAATAATGATAAGGGAAATAACAAGGAGAGAGAATACAATTGCTCACCACCCGCCACTGATACCCAGCCTGACCTGAGCAGTGATCTGGGCCTTCCAGGTAACCCCCCCAGTTTATATACTGGGCATGATGTGCTGTGGTGTGGAATACCCTTTTGGCTCATTTGGGTCAGGTGTCTTGTCTCTGCCTCCTCCTGGCTTCCCGTGCCCCTCCTCACTGTCAGAGAATGAGACTGAAAAGTCCTTGATCTGGGTAAACATTATTTGGCAAAACTTAAACATCATTGTATTATCAGTGTTGTTCTCAGGCTAAAGTTGAAAACACAGCACTGCACCAGCAATTAAGAAGGAGAAACAACTGAACCCAGGGCAGTATGCTTCTGGTTTTCTCAGTGTTTTCCTCTTATAATCGTGTAGTGCACGCTGGAAATGATCACTCAAGGCTCATGCACATGATCTTTTCATGCTAGCAAGTGAAAAATCAATTTGTGTTCGAAGGAGTAAACAGTAGTATGAGCTTTACCTCCGCAGAGTCAAAATAGATTCCTTGATAAAGGAGATGACAATGAAAGCTGAGCTCTTGATGTGTAAGCACACAGGTGCTCATACACAAAAAATCAGAGTGGGTTTCCTACATTCATTTAACATGCTGCATTTATCTTTCCAGTAAAATAAAGATAGGAAGAAGTGATTACTTGCTGAATGCCAAATGTGCGTAAGTAAAGCCAGAGGGATTATTCACAATTTATCCAGATGAGAATGTAGTTGGTCAGTTCTGATAACGACATTATTCTCATGTATTTCTTTCTTCTGACTCTACATTTGAATTTTCAGAACTATTCTGACAAGTCTGTTAGAAGGTTTTGTTGCTATCATTTCTGAGAAATGCCTGTTGTTGGATGTAAATTACAGGGAAAAGAAGCTTACATGATTTTTCTGTGTTGCAAAAACAAAATCTGATCTCATCCAGGTTATAAACTGTCCAGGAGCTAAGAGTGGTCAAGGAACTGTTGAATGAATAAATGGAAGGTTAGATCAACATGACTCATCAGATATTATAACCATTCACCCAATGTCATTTGATCTGCATAACATTAAAGGCTACTATTCCCTCACTCTTAGATTTCTGACCTCTTTCCCTCCCTTTAAAGTTTAGCCCTGAGCCATCCAAGCCATACATTAAACCTTTGGTTCCACATCATTTAAGTTCTGTTCTGTTCTCTTGTGAGTCTGAAACATGAAGAGACCCTTATAAGACTGACTTGTATTAGGTAGAATATTTTGATCATCTGACCTGTCCCTTTTTTTTAGCAAGCAGCATTTAAAAGTAAACGGGAAGTGTTCTGATGCAAAAGAGCCTTGCCAGATTAAAATGAAACTGGAAGATGAGTTCAGTGTAGCATGTAGCTGTTTTGAATTGGTTTTGTTTTAATTGAAGTTTTATTACCTCAGGACGTCTGTCTGTGGCTTAGGTAATATTCACTTCTCTTCTGTCTGGGATTCATGAATGCACTGCCATCTGAGAGAACAGCTCATTATGTGAAATGCAAGTACTCAGTCTTACAGAAGCCAAATTTCTGTCCTTTTGGCTGAGTTAGAATATGCTGCTCACAAAGGAAGAAAAGCACCAAAAGCATGCACAAATGCAGGCTGTGACCTCCTTTTTAGGAGGTTACTGATGAAACCTGAAGAGGAGAAGGGTGGCGAATCACACAATGTGTCCTAAACCACTTCATTTTTATTAGATTAGGAAAGTAGTAGTATGGATGGTGTCCCATCTCTGCTAAACTACAGGAGGAGCATGGCATCTTACTAACGGCAATTCTAGTAACAATTTGTCATAGCACTAGCACTGGAGAAGGTGGTTAATATTGTATGTGCTCTGTTTCATTCTGTTCTGATGAATCTGTATGGATGATGCCGTGGTGTGCCATGGGGGGACTGCTTGCACTTGTTAGCTGAATGCAAGTGTTTATGGACAGTTATACTTCCAATTTTTGATTCATGATTTGAAAGGTTGAGAGGTTGCTTTTTTTCTTTTTCTTTTTTCATTTTCTTTCCCAGATAGACCAAGTTTCTAACAGATCTGTGCCTTTCAAGTCTCTTAGAATGTGTAACTGTAGCATGAATTCAGAAAAATGGTCTCATTTCTTTAGAAATCCACTAATAGTAATGTACGGGAAGACTCTTACATTGATCTTCGCTCGATAGCTATGTTGTAATAATTATTCTTTTAATGTTTGCATCAATCTAAATGTTTTCCTCTTTGTGCTAGCTCCTACTTGGATCTCCCTAGATGACAATCACAGCACTTTGACATCTTGCATTACTTTAATACCAGTGATTCAAAACAAAGCAAAGCCAAAGGGAACAAAAGTTCTGTCAAGCCATTAAAATCTTCTTTGCCATTAACACAATTAAATTGATGCATAAGCATTTAAAGTTATTAGTGAGTGCTGCCAGCAGAAGCTGATTGTGATTGCATAATATATAGTGGGCTTTATTAAAGTAAAATGGTATGTTTATTGTTATTATCATCATTAGTTCTGAAGTAACATAAACAGGGCTGTGAATTGTGTGAGCACTGTGAAACAAGTTAAAACATGCTCTGCCCTGTGTTAACTGTCAGGGACAGGATTATGACAATTAAGACGTTTCTAAACGAAAAAATACCCATGGTATCTTGGTTAACCATTGAAAACGGCATGTGTAATGGTAGGGAGGGATGTTAAATAAAGAGAGGACTGCTGTATCTCTGCTGCTGTCACTCTTCCCAGTCTTGACTCATTCAGCTGGATTTTGGGATGCTCCTCTTACTGCTGTGAAAGGTTTTGTGGTTGGTGTGCAAGCTGATGGGGGGAGTATTTGTTTTGTTTTCTCATATTCCAACATACTAATTTTTCAGTGAAAAAAATCAGGAGTGTATTAGAGACATATGTACTCCCACTGTCCCACTGCATAGTGCAGTAATACTGGTGCTTGCTGGTCTTAAAGTTAACTATTCCTCACTGAGTGGAGAGTTGGTATGGGGTGCGGAAAACAGGGATTAGCAAGGAACCTACAGGTATTGAGAGGGAAAAGTGTGATTTAAGTGAAGCGCTGGTGGATGAAGGAAGGCCAGTGAAGTACTGGAATATCAAGTTGTGCGGTATGAGGGTGGGCTGCAGTTAATGCTGACCATCCACTGAAAGTTCTCAAGCTAGGTTTGTTAGGTGGAATTTGAGCAGAGTAGAAACTAGGGACAAAAGGTAAGGCTCTTTTTTTCTGGTCAGTTGAGTATTTTTAAGTGATGCTATGGGAAAGAAAATTACAATCTATAGTTGCTGAAGGAGATAAAAATCACTAATATCCCTGCAGTGTACTCATATTCACTTGAGTACTTCTTTACCAAGATATTGATGAACTGTTGGAAATTCAGAGAACAGTGATGAAATCAGCCACAGGGAAGGAAAATGTGTATCAGGAAAGAAGGCAAAAGTTCAACATTCATCATTTGAGAAAAGTGAAGTGAAATTCTGCATGTCTGTGCATGGTGTAAATATGAAGGAAAATATGAGTAGTGGGAAGAGCTTTACGGAAAGGCTGAGGTATCACTGAAACCAAAATTTTAACAATTATCACACAAAAAAAAATCTGAACAGTTTACAGCACTGGTCCATATTTTATTAATGGAAAGGATGGGAGACCCATTTCCCTACAGTTTCTGTGTCAGACTAGTGATGGTACAAGAAGAAACAGGGAAAATGTGCTACTTCAGCAGAGTGTGAACTTGGTGATCTAATAGGTCATTCTGGTCTTCAGCTTTTGTAGGTGTGTGGATTTATTCTTGAAGCTTAGTGCTGGCTGAAATACAGGAGGAAAGCTGTGGTCAGTGCTTTTGGTCAAGCTCTATAGCAGATTAGGATGATAGGGTTTAAGTTTAGTCACGAGTGTCTTTTACCAAACTAGTTAACAAGAGCACTACAGTGAAGTGTCAGGCAGAAAAGTGTCACTGAATATTAATGAAATGCTTACCTGGTTTTTGGTACCTTCCTAAATATTGTTTCTTCTGTTCTGCTGTACCCCTGTGATAAGAGCCCATCACAACTACCTACAGGTGCTACAAAATGATTGTACACACGGGTCCACCTGTTGTTTATGTAATTGTTCACAGTGGTCAGAGGTTTTGAGCTCTTTCATGTCCTTGGAATGAGGGATTGTGGCACATGCTGTAAGTACCATTTAAAAATGAGTATTTTCAGTGGGAAGGCATTAAGGGCACCACTCTGTGTGTGCATGGGTATGGTTGTGTGCATAGATATATTGCAACTTTCTAAGGGCAAAAGGAGTATTTGTCAAGCCTCTTGAGGTGGATTCCCCTGTGCTGTTCAGTCTTCAGAGGATACTTAACCTGTGACAGTCTGATGAAGTGAGAGACAACAAAATCAGCAGCCACCCTTACAGTCCAACCAGTATTTTACTACAGTATGTATTTAAGTTTTAAGAGCTGCCTTGGCTGTTAGCCTATTAAGCTGTAGGATAAGATAGTTGATGATAGCAGCTTTCTCCTAACTGTTATCACCTCTGTCCTTTGCTGCAGCGTGCAGCAAGTTAAACCAAACCTCGCCTTCTCTTTGAAGGCTGCTGATAGGAGTAGCAGCGGGATCTTCTTCAATACAGAAGTTTCAGGCAATTCCAGTGCCAGTCCTCAGCTGTGAGGAAATCAGAGTACTTTATTGCTTCAGAAGTATTCTTAGTAGCACAAAGCAGTGCAGAAGAAAAAACCCAACTTTTGACAAAATGGATCTTGCTGATGATTTATGTTGATCTGAACTGGAAAATCTGGTAGGCAGCAAGCATGGATACAGCAGTCTTCAAACAGTGGCTTGTTACCTGTTTACCTCTGTGGTTATAGTCACTGAACTTTGCATCGAGCACCTGACTAAACATTTCTTTCTTTCTTTACACCTAGGTTCCCAATGACTCCAGCTGTGTGGAAGACATATTACGGGTGAGTAATACCCTTTGCTTTTCTGTATAACTGTAGTGCTGCTATTTCATCTTTCAGGGAAAAGAGTTATATGGCTGTCTTTAACACTGTAGGCAAATAATAACATTTTAGTGGGTCTGTATTAAAAACACACAGGCAAGTGGTAGGCCCAGGGTGCTCCTTAGTGAGTAAGGTTAGTTCACCTCATACTCTGCATCTGTCAGCTTGTCGCAGTTAGGATTTACACATGCTCCTGGAGTTTTTAAGCTCTTAATCTTTGTGGGTCTCTCCAGGACATATTTCTTTCCTACCCTGAGGTGGAGTTACCTTAATTCTCTCACTTGTAGACTGACCTACAGTCTTCTTCCTTCTTCACCCAAGCTACAGTTGCTCATCATTCATGATTTTGTTAAACACTCCGTTATTTCTTTTTCCAGGAGCTCTGTTCAGTGGTTTAATACAGAAAATTAAAACCATTCCAAACTGAGCATTGCTTAATTGCAAGAAGATCATATAATAAAGGGGACTGTGCACAAATTGTAAATCTGCATTACTTTAAGATAGGCTTTTCCTCAGACACCCCAATTTTGGCGTCCCTGTTGGCAGTGAGATTTGTCTGGGGTCAGGTTTGCAACCCAGCAGTCCCTATCTGGAACTTAGGTTTTTGTCCTCGTGGGTTGATCTCTCATCTGTCAGAGCTACTTCCTTGGATTGACAGTCAGCTTCCTGGGGTTCAGTGTAGAGGGTATAAAATTTAAGTGGGAATTTGTGCTGACCATGTTCTTGCCACTAGGAGCAACTGATGCAGACCTGAAATCACGTGTAACAGTTGTGTCAACTTGCTTGCAAATACATGGACTTGTTCTTACTTATAAAATGGGCTTCTCAGTATCCACTGCAATCCAGACTTAAGTAGTTTGGGAAACTTGCTCCTGTTATGTGCACACACGTTATCTCGGGATGCTGTTGCTGTCCTTATAGGTTGCCAGTGTTGCTGCAGAAGTATGTTGAGCCAGCAGGCAAGCATGCACGTGCAGACCTGCAGTAACAGAGTATACATCTGCATGTGCACCCAGAGGCAATGAATAGTTAATAAATAAAATCTAGTTTCAACCCTCAGAGTGAACAGGGGTTTAATACCTATTGAACACTAAGGGAGAAAAAGCAAAGAAAATGTTGTAAGGCTCTTTGAAATACTTGGTACATTTTAAATGTCTCCTTCCCCTGTTTATATATTTCAATTAGGTTCTTTACTATAGTTGTAATGAATGACTTGTTAGCTGGGGAAAGCAGTTGTCTCCAGTAAACAGCATCAAAAGGAAATGTGATGTAGTGAATTTCAGGGATCAATCATCCAGGTGCCAGTTTTAATGTGGGAACAGTGCATATAAATCATAGGAAGCAGAAATGTCCTTTTTCTAATCAAAAGGAGGTGATATTATTTCCTACCCCATGGCTGCAGTTTAAGTCAACAGAGTGTCCTAGGCTCCCTTCTGAAACCTGCTGTGGTCAGTGCAGGATTCTGCTGATGATGACAGCAGAGGATGGGGATGAACTTCAGAGTCCCTGCAGCTGGTCCCAGTAGGCTGTTAAACTTGGGGTGGACAGAGCAGGGATGTAGCAGGTTTTCATGTCTCTGGTGATCTGTCCCACATATAATGGGCAACTGGAAGAGGGGTATAAACCAGCAGATCTTTCTTGAGGGCTGGGTGCAGATGCCTGGAGGCACTCCCAGTGCCCAGCCTTGCCATTCAGACATGGAGCAAACCTGTCAGGTACAGGCGTAGCCAGAAGCTATATTGAGCGCATGAGACCGCATGTGCCAGGTACAGGGTTGGCACAGAGCAGTGAGTGTGGGACCTCACCACATGTGCAGCTAGGTGAGAAAGCAGCAGATCACAGAACCGCTTCTGAGGCTGCCCATCAAAGGCCCAGCAAGTCCCAGTCCCAACTGGTTGCCTTCAGTGGCAGCTAAATTAGGCTTTCAACTTTCTATGGTGGCTGAAGCACACGTGGAAGTAGAAGTACCTCAGTTTTGTTAGTGACTTTGTTCTTCTCAAATTTATAATGCAGAATGAGCTAGTGGAAAATGTGTTTCGGCTGCACGCAGAGGATCATATTCTACTTGATAGGCAATGAAGAGAAAATAAAAGAATGCGATGCCCAGCAGTAGTCAAAATCCAGTCTTCAGGCTCCCCATGGAAGGCCTGTGTCAGGAGATTCAGGTTCTGTGCTCCAGATGAAAGGATGACCCTTGGTTTCAGCAGCTGTTTGTGCTTTAAGAGTGTGGATTAAGTTCCTAGCTCTGACAGATCCTTTTTTGGCCTTTCAGGGCCATTTATGTAGACCCTGAAGAGCCTCTGGGAGTGTGGCCCTCTGCTCCCTGATGGCAGTTTCCCCATGTAAAAACTAGGCTATTAACATTTCCGTCCTGTCAGGGATGTTGCAGAGGTAAACAAGAGGAATTACAAAACGGGTCCTGAAGGTAGACAGATGGGGCTGTAATAATGTGCATTTTGACCAACCAAACCATTGACAACTACTGGCAATTTCTGCTGCGAGCCACGTCCGCTCCTGAACTGTGCACCCCAAAGTGCAGGAAGAAAGGTGCTGCTGCCTGCCTTGCCCCAGCCCTGTCTGTCTCCCTCTCCCTTGGGAGAGATCATTTCATGCCTTGAATTTTGCTCCTTTGTCTCTTTTTCAGTCAGGGGATTAAGTGACTTAATTCAGTTTCACCCCTCTGAAAGACACAGTAATTCTTCTAGGTTTTTTTTCTTAGGCTTTACAGGGAAGAGGTACCATGTTAAGATTTGTGACCTCTGATTTTACAGAGCTCTTTTTTCAAGCTGAACTTGATTAATGGGTTTTGTAATTGTAGAGGTTTGCAATTCCTAATCTCTCCTTTTTTTCTTTTTTTTCTTTAGGAAAAAAAAGTTTTAATTGAGTTTATGGTCAAAAATTTCCATCAGAGAGAGGGAAAAGGTCTTGAGTCTGTTCAGACCCCTGAGTCTTCAGAGGCAAAATTTCAGAGTCCTTCAGGTTTCCTGAAACAGTCAGGCACTTATGTCATCTTGTGTAAATGCTTTAAGGACTGTTCTGATACTATAACCAAAGGTTAATGGCAGAGCGGTCTCTTGTTGATTTTGCTTTCCTAACCATGATGGCTGTAAAGGTTATTAATAATAATAAAATAATCTCTCTTCAATAACTAAGGCCAAGCTTGTAAATGTGGTACAGGAGATTTGCATTTCATGAAGGTTTCTAATAGCAAATTAAAAGATGAAGGTGAATACATGGGTGGTCAGTACACTTTTTTCTGTTCCAAAATGTGGCTTATTTTTTAAGCTGCCATAACGGCTTTGAGAGTGTGGGTAACGTGGAAGACAGGCACTTAACAGTGTATGAGTGTGTAAATCACATTATATTAATACGGACTTAAATTAAGTTGTCACTTGCTATGTGCAGCCATTGAAAAATGAGTTCGTTGAAAAGTTGTGATACAAAGTGCAAATGGGGCAGTAAAAATGACATTTTAAGCTGGTGTTCTGATGCTGTTACTTGTGCCACTACTACCAGTGCTCCATCATCATTCCCTGCTGTCATGGCATGTTATGTGACATGCTCTGCTGGTCCCAGTATAGGGCTGCGTGTCAGTGCAAACCAGCAGACATCCTGTTTCTACCTAGAATGAGCACAGGAGGGACCTCCCTTCGCATTGATTTACTTCTGGGCAGAGAGGTGATAAGCATACAACATTACACGGGAAAGAAAGGAAATCTTATTTAACTACATGTTCTTGAGGACTTGCAGTGTAAATTGAAACTTTGGGCTATGTGTTTAGGCAATTGATTAGATGTAATCTCCCAGCAGTGAGGCTCTGGTCTGTACATATAGAGCTTTCGTGTCTGTGTTGCTAACCATCTGGGCAGGCACCGCTGTCTAAAAATCTGTCCCTGATTAAAGGAATGAAATAATTCTTGTAGATGCATATTCATTGTAGTAAGCCGTCAAGTAGCTAGATGGACTCTTCTGATGTTATGTGGACAGCTGTGATATTAATTAAAGGCTTTCTAGTCTGGAAGCAAAACAAATCCTAAATATAATTCAGATTGTAATTAGTATAAAATGACTAGAGTTAAATGAGCAAAGTCTGTAATTTGTATAGTCTTCTGTTCTTCTGATGACTAGCTAATATCTAATGACACTGGAAAATATGTAAATTGATCAGCAAGTGAAGATGCCCTTGACTGGGCAAATTATGTGTAGTACTACCTTCCTTATGCCAATTGAAAGCACTAACAGATTTAATGTGTGTCATCCATAGCTGAGGTGAGCTGTTCACAGAGCAAAATTAGACTGTAACAGATACAGGCTGTTATTTGACTCAGTAATTTTCTCTTTTAAATTACAAACCAACATTGAAGAACAATGCTAAACCCATTTATAGTAATTGTACTTTGAAAGACACAGGTACTCTGTCCAGTGTAGTAACAAATGTATTTAGTAGCTGATGGGCAGTTTAAATACTTTCATGTAGAATCTGGGGGCTTGCTGAGGAGGACATGATGTGAATTTCAAATGACCATCTAGACGTCATTGGACAAGTGAATAACGAGCTGACTGGCCTAGTAAATCATGTGAACCTGTCAACTGTGGAAACACGTTGGGGAGGAGATGATGTCAAGTAACGGTAACTTAGCAACCTGGCATTTAGCTGTCCAGAGAATGAGTAAGAGTATCTACTTTTAAATAGCTGAGTAAATAAATGAATCCCTATACATCTTAGGTGTGCTATAAAAATAGCCCAGCACCGTATGTTTTCTGTCAAGCTGCTTCTTTCTCCAGGATAAGGTGATTTATTATTTCTACTGAAATGAAAAAATGGACTGAAAAGTTAACCCATGTGTAAACGTGTATCTGCGGCCTTTGTCCCTTGCCTGGTGTGCAGCCTTTGGAAGCATGTAAGGAATGGGTAATATCCTGTTTTGAAAAAGGCAAAGTGTTACAACAGTAGTTTTGGG